ATGGCCCTGCCGCCGCCCCCGCCGGAGCTGCTGGCCGACCAGCAGAAGACGAGCGGCTTTGGGGGCAGTCACATATCTGGCTATGCAACGTTACGGCGGGGCCCACCCCCCGCGCCCCCCAAAAGGGATCAGAACACCAAGCTGTCACGGGACTGGTAGTCAGTCCCCAGGGCCAGTGCTCTCCTGACTCACGGGCTGCTCCGTGATCAGCCAGCCCGTGATCCTGTGCACTTGGAGAGAATGTGGGGATGTGGATGATAAGCCCCGTCACAAGAGGTGATCTCAAACTGCAGCTGAGGCTAAATGTAAAGACGTTCTGCTTTCACGGCTAGGCTAAAAAAGTTGGGGGCTTGAGGGTGTGGATATTTTATTGGGAAAAGTGGGTAGAGAGGTGTTGGCTTCATCCTTTCGGTTTCTTTTACCCTTCTTATGGATTGGACCAAACCCCCATTTTCTTTCTTTTTCTGCATTTAGGGGAGGGGGAGGGAGGTAATTTTTTGTAGTGTCTGTCCACGTGAGACATGTTTGTGCATGTATTATAAATGTAGGTATATAATATATTGTGATATATTTCGTCGCAATTATAGAAGATAACCAGAATGTTTTTGTAGAACCGTATTTATTGTTTCAGTCAGTATATTATCTGGAATTGGACTCTAGTCAAATCTTGCCACAAAGATGGAGATGTAGGGGGCACTTTAAAGAAAAGAAGAAGGAAAAAAAAAAGAGCCTCCACAACCCTCTCAGCAGTTTGTGGCAGGTAAGTGGTGCAGAGCTGAGGTGTTCTCTGAGTAACTGTACATTGTCTATTGATCTAAAAGTACAGATGCAACATACCAAAACATTCTGGTCATAATACTACTGAAAATGAGTATGTTCTGAGGAAGAAAATAGATTTTATATATAGTGGGCTGGAGTGAAATATATTTATACTATAAAGAGCCTCCCCCTCCCAAATAGTTTAAACAACACACTGCTGCAAATTATTTCAAAGTTATTTGTCCATGCAGTTGAGTAGGATAAATCTCTGTTATTCCAAACCGTTATGCATTCTGACTTACAGTAGACTCCATCATTTGTTTCTCTGGCTCAAGATGAATATATTTGTGTTATCCCCTTCTGAAGGCTGCCAGGACTCCTGCAGTCGAAAATCCTGCGAAGCCTCAAGGCTGACCCACGCCGACCCATCACTTGTCCATGTAATCCTTTCCCTGAAAACAGGTAGGTTTCTGTAGAAGGTGTTATGTTCTCACACAGACATACACAACGTACAGTCTTGCCTGCTCTGTGCCTGATGAGATGAATTATCTTTACAAAATCAAGTGTCTGGAAACATGTAAAGAAAGTACTGTTTGTAATTCTTTAGAAATTGTCAGGAAACTTTCCCTTCTAGAAAGAGAGAAGGGAGTGGCAATTTCAGGCCAAGCAAAGTAGGAATTCTCTTTCTTTCCTCCGCGACTGACCAGTGCATTAACCTCTTAATTGCAAGGTTGCACTTCTAGCAGTCACGGAAGAAGACTGTAAAAAAAGCAACCTTAAGAGGCAATAACATTTGCTAATAATTTAAGGGCCCATGTGAGTAGGAAATAAGACTCTTGATTTGCATTGGTGTTTTGTTGGCCACCGATTGACAGTCAATCACCAGATCAAGTACTACAGTCCTTTCTCTTGTACTTGAGTGGCTTGATTGCACAGTCTTACCCATGTATTCAGACATTGTGATAAGGTAGTGTACGTGGTGTATGTATTATGCACGTCGGTGGTGGTACACAGCCTGTGTAAAGCAGCTACAACTCTTGGACTGTACCTACCCCATCTTCGGCTGTTACAGCTTCCCTCGGCACCACGGCGATACTGTCAGTAGGCTCAGGTGGCAGATCATTTCACTGTTTGCTTACCTTTTCTCCAAAAGCAAACTTTAAATTCTTTCCTTTCCCCAAAGACTGAAACAAAGGAAGCAGTTTGACCCGACAGTATCCTCACGTGTAAAAAAGGATATAAACTAATCTCTCATTACAGTAATTCAGGCTGGCAGATTGAAGAAATATTATGACAATGTCCCCATGCCTTTTTTATAAAGCTCTTTTTAAAAAATCCAAATGACATAAATGTATTTGTGAATATTTTATGAATAAGAAAAAAAAGCTTTGCTAATTAGAGGGGGAAAATGACACATCTATAACTATGTAGTTTTAAATAGATGCATCATGAAAAGAGAAAAATTAATGGTGCTGTCTCTGCTGACCTGTTTCATATGATTTTTTAAAAATCTGTTTCAGCACCTCTGGAAATTGTTTTAATATTTCAGACTAGTTTTTTTGAGCAATAAGAGTATATACCATTGTGTGCATTTTTAAAGCACTGCTACAGAAAGGCACTTTTTTGTATCTTTCAAATTGTTCACAAAGTTTTGTTTCTACTATTTTTGTGCATATAAAGTGTCCTTAAAAGCATTTGCATTGTTGATTTTAAGCATGCTCAGTGTAGCTTGGTGAGTGAGTAACTTCACCAGAAGGTCATTAAGCTATACTGCAACTCATGGGTGCTGTAATTTTCAACCCTGGTCCTCTTGCTGCTTTGTACCATGTGCAGCTCCTGGGGCTTAGACACACCAGTGGAGCAAAAGGTGCACAGGTGCTGTGGTCACTCCCTAGCTGTTCCTAATGATGGGTAAGTGGGCCTGTTCTCCTGCTCCCTGGCAAGATGCATCTGGGCTGATGCGGCATGTGCTCCCAGGTGAGAGCAGCCAGGAAATTCTGCTTGCCCCATCTGCTTTCCTTTTCCCTCAAGACAGCTCCACTGGTGTGTGTCAGTTCCAGCCCTTTTGCTTTAGTTCGTTCAGTGCGGGTACCTCTGGGTTTTGGGCTCGGCACAGCAATGTTTTGAGTGCAATTTCTTCAGAGGCATTTGAGCTTTGTTCTCATTTTTCTGTGCCCATATTCATTTACTCAGTATCTCTCCCTAGACAAACATCTGTCTCCCAGCAAGCTGTTAGCAGCCTGCAGTAGTTAAGCCTGGATTCATAAACGTTTTTAAGTTTGCAGCAAAAAGAATGAGCGTCAGCAAAGGTGGCACCCTGTAGTTCTTCTTGGTACAATTTACTTCCTGAGTGATCCAGAAATACAGTGAGTGGCTGCAGCTTGCTTTCTCTCAGCTGAGCACTGAAATTTGGCTACAGTGTGGTTCAGACAACCTGGTTGCCTTTTCAGCTTATGAGCCCCCCTCACTGTAACTTGCTTTTCCAGTGTATTTACTGGTTTTGTGACAGTAAATATTTATGCCTTATTTGCAAGTGAGTTATCTTCCCTCGTGTGCGCTGGTCTCATCTCGCACCACTGTATTTATTTAAATCAGAAAATGAAAGGGCCAGATCTCAGACATATAGGAAGATGCTTCCTGCTACAAACATGGGCTGTAGTCCTTTCGGCACTACTAAAAGGAGCATGTGAAAACTGAGTCTTCATACTCTGGACTCAAAGAGAGCAGGCGCTTTGTTCCCAAAACACTAAGAGAGGACAGCTCTACTTGTGTTACTTGAGGAAGTGCATGGCCTGTGACACTTGTTAAGGTGGGTGTCAGGGAAGCTCTGCTGCTGCAGGGGAGCTGAGAGCATACAGCTGCATTCGCTAATCGATTCCAGTTTTGAGCTTTATTTTCTGTCTGCCATGCAGCAGTAGCATCCCCATCTGAGAGCAGGGTCCCTCCTGTTCAGCCAGGTTTCTCTGTGCCTGCAGCACAGGTGTAGGAAAGCAGGGAGCGAGTCTTCTCAGACACTTTCATTGTAATTCAGGTCTCGGGAGTTGCTTTGAAAGGGAAAATGAGGCTCTCTATCAGCACTCATCTTAGAGGAGAAATGATTTTTAAAACACAGGTTCTAAACAAACCGTAGGTAACGTTGGAGGTGGGTATGCTGGGGCTTCTGTTTAGCCTTTCAAAACCTGTGGCTGGGAGAGGCGTCTAGGCATGAGTCTCAAAATAATCCTGTTATTTCCTATGGAAGAGGACGGCTCCTGCTTCACCCTGCACTGTGGTTTCCTCTGGCAAACCACCACTGACCGCTCTGACTTGGTGCATGACCTCAAACCAAAGAGCTCCTCTCCTCAATTCACTCTGCAGTTTCCTGCAGGGCAACAGTGACTGACTGACACATCAGGGAAACAAAGTGAAGGTACCTGGGTCACTTTGGTTTCAGGTCTGTTGGGAGAGGGAGCAGTTTTTTCAACAAGTGCATTTTAACATTTACTGTTCTGGACTTGCACATTTAAAGGTTTTCTAATACCTTCTTTCTGTACTGTTAGGCAACCAGAAAAATCAAATGAGCTCAGAGATAAATTGAGGCTGGTTTTCCTCTGAGTTAAAATTATTTTTTCCACAGTTTAAGGAACCAAAAGTGCCATTTCAACAGCAAAAGGGCAAAAGAGAAGTTTTCTGCTTATCACAGAAAACGGCATAGAACCAAATTGTTCTGCTTCAGTGGTATCATTGCAGGTAAATTTGTTTCTTATTCAAAATAAGATTTTAAGTGGGTCTTGCTATGAGTATTACTTCAAATAGAGACAAAATCAGTTGCATGTCAGGAAAGCAGTATAAATTCCTGGCAGAAGGTAGTGAGGATGCAGCCAGAACA